AAGAACAATCTGGCCATAAAAATGGCCATGTACTCTTATAATCTCCACCCGGCACAGCCAGAAGAGGACTGGCCACCGCTCAGAGCCTGGTTCCTCGTAGGTTTCTTCCTAGGTCTTTCTAGGGAGTTTTTCCTAGCCACCGTGCTTCTACATCTGCATTGCTTGCTATTTGGGGTTTTAGGATTTATAAATATATTTGATTGATAACTTATTTCACAACCATAAATACTTTAAAACAAGCTAGCAAGCACACCACACTTTCTTCAGGAAATGTACTTTTCTAGTTCATCATACTTTTTTATATTCCCCAACCATCCATCCATCCATCCACCCCTCATTCATTCATCCCTCTACAATCCCTCAATCACTTGTACTTATTTTAACTGCTTCAGCTTTTGTTCCATTTTGAATTACAATTTAAACTTCTTCCACTTCCATAAAAATACTGGTATTCCCTAAGTGTTCGTGTTAGGTGCAAAGTCTGCACCTGGTGATCCCTGGATAAACAAACCCATCAAAACAAATGTTGAATATTAATCTGTTTTCATATACACTTAACCACAAAATATCTGCTGCAACTACAGTTGAAGTCGGAAGGTTACAAACACTTAGGTTGGAGTCATTAAAACGCGTTTCTCAACTACTCCACACATTTCTTGTTAACAAACTATAGTTTTGGCAAGTCCACTTTGTGCATGACACAAGTAATTTTTCCAACACTTGTTTACACACACTAAGTTGACTGTGCCTTTAAACAGCTTGGAAAATTCCAGAAAATGATGTCATGCTTTAGAAGCTTCTGATAGGCTAATTGACATACTTTGAGTCAATTGGAGGTGTACCTGTGGATATATTTCAAGGCCTACCTTCAAACTCAGTGCCTCTTTGCTTGACATCATGGGAAAATCTGAAGAAATCAGCCAAGACCTCAGAAAAAAAATTGTAGACCTCCAAAAGTCTGGTTCATCCTTGGGAGCAATTTCAAAACGTACATCTGTACAAACAATTGTACGCAAGTATAAACACCATGGGACCACGCAGCCGTCATACCGCTCAGGAAGGAGACGTGTTCTGTCTCCTAGAGATGAACGTACTTTGTTGCGAAAAGTGCAAATAAATCCCAGAACAACAGCAAAGGACCTTGTGAAGATGCTGGAGGAAACAGGTACAAAAGTATCCATATCCACAGTAAAACAAGTCCTATATCGACATAACCTGAAAGGCCGCTCGGCAAGGAAGAAGCCACTGCTCCAAAACCGCCATAAAAAAGCCAGACTACGGTTTGCAACTGCACATGGGGACAAAGATCGTACTTTTTGGACAAATGTCCTCTGGTCTGATTAAACACAAATAGAACTGTTTGGCCATAATGACCATCGTTATGTTTGGAGGAAAAATGGGGTCGCTTGCAAGCCGAAGAACACCATCCCAACCGTGAAGCACGGGGGTGGCAGCATCATGCTGTGGGGGTGCTTTGCTGCAGGAGGGACTGGTGCACTTCACAAAATAGATGGCATCATGAGGAAGTAAAATAATGTGGATATATTGAAGCAACATCTCAAGACATCAGTCAGGAAGTTAAAGCTTGGTCGTAAATGGGTCTTCCAAATGGACAATGACCCCAAGCATACTTCCAAAGTTGTGGCAAAATGGCTTAAGGACAACAAAGTCAAGGTATTGGAGTGGCTATCACAAAGCCCTGACCTCAATCCTGTAGAACATTTGTGGGCAGAACTGAAAAAGTGTGTGCGAGCAAGGAGGCCTACAAACCTGACACAGTTACACCAGCTCTGTCAGGAGGAATGGGCCAAAATTCACCCAACTTCTGTGGGAAGCTTGTGGAAGGCTACCCGAAACGTTTGACCCAAGTTAAACAATTTAAAGGCAATGCTACCAAATACTAATTGAGTGTATGTAAACTTCTGACACATTGGGAATGTGATGAAAGAAATAAAAGCTTAAATAAATCATTATCTCTACTATTATTCTGACATTTCACATTCTTAAAATAAAGTGGTGATCCTAACTGACCTAAGAGACGGTATTTTTACTAGGATTAAATGTCAGGAATTGTGAAAAACTGAGTTTAAATGTATTTGGCTAAGGTGTATGTAAACTTCCGACTTCAACTGTATATTAAGTGAGTGCTGGCCCTTTTCCCAGCTGTGTTCCATTCCTAAAACCTAACTTCTGATGTTGCACCTGTCACCAACCCATATCACTGCAAATACATTTTGGTGGTCTGATAAGCTCAACAAAAACGGTTTAGATATACTTTACCAATGTTGTATATCTTACTGTATTTTATGACATGAAATGTTTTGGATGGATCCCAAATTGTATAAGGTGCACATTGTATAAAAGAGCTTCCAAACTCATTTGATGTGTTTTGGACAAATGGGTCAAGTGCAATAACCATTATGTGAGTTATATACAAAACTATTGTATTCAATGGACACAAACCAAATGACAATACTACTTTACCATCTAATTGGTTTGGTTTAGATACAATAGATCTACTATTGGGGATAGGCTACATTGGATTTCACACAAGTAAACCAGACATGACCTGAGAGGTTGTTTTTTTCACTCCGGTTTGTCTGGCTAAAGAGACGCCGGTCACGCCATGACAAAAGAAGTGTAGAGCTCAACTCAAGCTACGCAGCTCCTCGTCATGGGCAGTCGTGGTGCAGCCGAAATCCTCCCCCATCCCAAAAGCTGAATTTTTCATTCTCACGTATCAGAACCTTCTTAGACAATAGGTCATTGTCCATTCAGCTTTCACAGATGGGTTACCCACGCCGAATTTGCTGGGAAGACAAAGGAGACCCTAACCGTAAGCTCTAAATGGAAAAGTTCTGGATTCATACAGCCGAAATGTTAATTGAAGGCCCCGCCGGGGTGATAGGGGCGCGTGCAGCAAGTGCGCGTATCAATTTCAGGGCTTCGTTTTGTTCCACGCCAAGCGTTCGCTCGACTGCATCATTAGAGGGTTCTGTCCCCACAGAATTAGAACGATGGTTATCTTGGAAGTATTTCGATTATTTATCTTATTGAAAATGTTTTGAAACATGCAGACCTCACAGGTCAAGTACACATGGTAATTAAAAATGATTTGTGATAACAAATATCCTGTTTCGAACAATCCGTGAGTTACTTGAAAATATGCAAGGCTTATAATGAAAAGCTATGTTATTTGTTTGATTCTCTGTTTCTTAAACTAAAACGATGCAACCCGTCTCTGAACTAGGGCATCGACCATCAACAATTCGTTACACTCAAATAGGCTTTTACGCACAAACATTGATGAACACACTTGCGAAAATATAGCTTGGACGCTATAAAGCATTTAAAAGTCAAGCCAACCGGACTATTGCAATATGGAGAGAGCATATATAGAAAGGGGGGTGTGGGGGAAATCTATTTTGGCATCCTAGTTTTTAATCATGGATACCATGGAGACCATAACCCAATAGCATGCAGATTTTGTAGGCTACCGACGCCAAAAATTGTTAGCAAAACATGCTTCGTAGACAAACTTAATGCAGAAAAAGTTTAGAACAAGTAGGGTGGGGGCTTCCTCCCTTATAGTAGGGTGACACGGGCTGGTGGTAGGGGGGATGGTAGTGGGGAGGAGGGGGACATGGGAGAGGTGGGTTGGGTTGAGGGGTGGGTTAGGGGTCGGTAACAGACGCCCATCTGGTCTCCATGGCGCGTGCTGCACGCGTGGTTCCCATGAGAACCGTCGAGTTTGATAGGTCGTTAACACTGTAGTGATTGTCGTTAGAAACTGGTAGCCTATGGAAGACATGCTAAAGGCATTTCTGAATAGAATTAACGGTAAATGGTTTGTTGGCTCGAATTAAGAGTGGTTCCACTCCTAAATGTGTCTCAGGATATAGGCCAAATGTTATAAACATTTCTACATTTGCTTTGTTCATGTAGGAACTAAACGCATTTCCATTCATACCCATCATCTGTTGTGCATCCCCCCGAAGTCACGCCCCTCCCCAGGCACCACAAGTAGGCTACAGGTAAAGACAGCTTCCATCAGAAATGTAATAGGCTTAGACGTCACACAGTAAGAAAAGTATTGTTGATCACAATTTACAAGCAGATGTTATTTGAAGTTAGCTTGGCTTGGGTATCTGTCGGTGTAAATTTAAATAATGCATAAAGCCCAGTGCCCCCTCCATCGTCCATCCACCCATAGCTCCTCCACCAATGTTATACTATGATACAGAATGGATATCAAACAACATCTGTGCAAAACATGTATAACGCTATCTACAAAACGTGAGAGGCTGAACGTATATTTGAAAAACGTGTATTGAATTTAACCATATCCATCTATTGTAACCTGCATCTATTTATCGAATTGAACGTGAAATTGAACACAGGTTAAATATTTATTCAAATAACATGTAGGCCTAATGTGTGGTTGATATGTTTCTATTCACTAACCATGAAAGGTGTTACAATGCAATATGCTTTCCATGGAACATTGGTTATGCGTAATTACGCATGGGTATCGAACCATTTAACTTAATCAAAAACGTAAATAATAAGCTGTAAATAAAAAAAGCTATGCAATTCAGAATAATCAGAGAATAATGAGAAATCTTTGAAATGAAAGACTGCTTGTATACAATAGCATTTCATGTTCAAATCACTTTGACCAAAAAGCAACGCTTATTTACGTAGACGTTTTGCAAGCTTTGTATCGTCAAATTTAGCTTGCACGCACCATAGTTGTTATGCTTGGATTAAATTGGGAGACAGATGGTTATTGTTGCAGATTTGGTGCTCTTGTGTTGTTTCAAATGCAAAGGTCCTCAGTCAAAATTATTTGACGGTAGCTTGGGGGCGTACCCGTGACGCACAGAACCGACGCTCAGGACCTCCATATAAACTGTGGCCCGAGGTCTTTGGAAACATATCCTCTCCAATCTCCAAGATTTCTACTTCAAAATAGTGCTCCTTCACATAAGAGAACGAAAATGACTCAAAAGATGGCCTCCGAATCTATCCAATCCCTTGCTCCAAGGCTAACTGTGGCCAGGAGAAAAGAGGCGCTTGAATTGAGAAAGGTACGGGTCTAAATAGATACAATAGAATATAAAATACGTTTGTGCATCTAAATTCTCGTGTTAAATGTTTTTGCAATGGATTCTAAATTGTGTGTTACCCTTTTTCAGACAATGAAACCTTTGTTGGAAAAGAGAAGGCGCGCCCGTATCAATGACAGCCTCAACCATCTGAAGACTCTGATCCTTCCACTCACAGGGAAAGATGTAAGTTCCAAATAACCAACAAATAGGCTACGCTTTATACGTGTCTAGAACACACAGCTGTAAACATTTCATCATCGAAGTTATGCTTATAGATAGATACAGTGGACTAACCATCGCCCTGTTCTCTTTTTGTGTGCAGAATTCTCGGTACTCGAAGCTTGAGAAAGCTGACATCCTTGAGATGACCGTAAGATTCCTCAGTGATATTCCTGCTGCTCAGAAAAAAAGTACCTCAGACAGCTTCAAAGAAGGGTACAAAGCCTGCCTGCAGCGCGTCACTGCGCTGATCCCCAAAACGAACTTGGACAAAGACTCATGCCAGCGGTTGAACGACTTCATCCAGCAGTCCATGTCTGCGTCCGTCGCCCCAGCCTGTCAGAACTGTTGCGCTCAGAGCTCCAGGGCTTTCCCCCAGATTCAGCAGAGACTCTTGAGCCTCAAAGCAAACGTTGGCTCCAGAATCGAGAGCCACTCGAACTCGCTTCCCAACCGGCCCCAGCCAGTGCCACAAGCTGTCAATGCTAACATGTGGAGACCCTGGTAGATTCAAAAAGCCATAACGCCAATGTAAATTGTATGCTATGTACATGTCGGGAAAACGTCTATTGTACATATGTATCTATCAGTACTAGGCTATAGAGATGCATGCATTGTCATATTCTCTTGATGAAAAGCTATAATTCATCGTTAAATCATGTTAGTTAAGTATTATATACTGAAGTAATTACGCACGTCTTCTGTCCTATAAGTTGACAAGTTTGAAGAAATTCTTATTTAAGATCTGCATGGATTTAATTTTTCTATATTTAGTCCTCTTTGGGGGGTTAAATGATAAAAGGGCCACAGAAAACGCCCCTGTAAACCCAAAGGGTTATTATATGTATGTAATTTGCACTTTAGACTTCAGTATCCTGGGTCTGTGCAGATAAACGATATGTAAGCACGTTGTGTTGTTACTTAAAAACGTAAAATGTATCTTTTAGGGATGTATTTGTAAATATATTACCATTGCGCATTGTATATACATTTAGCTGTAATAAAAACTGCGATACCGTGGTATATTCCTCTTAATTTCAACTTTCCTTTGTCTTTGTTGGTATGACTAGGATATATGTAGCCATAACGTAGGCCTAGACTAAGCACCAAAATATTATTTCATTTTAGTTGGTAAGAAAATGTATCATTACGCACTGAAGTGCGTGTCATCAAGACGCAACCACCAACTGTTCCCCAAACGTTTAAACATATGGCCTTAAAAGGTTAGTAAAATAGTAAACATGCCCTTTTAAGTAACAAGGTTTTAGTCAAATAAGATGCAGTTGGGCAGTTGAGCAAGTGTAGCACATGAGGATCTGTGAAACTTATGCAGCAGCCTGAAGTGTCCCCACTTGTGCCAGCGAATAGCTGGCTTTTCGCGTGGCGCGGACTGGTAAGACGCTTCAGGAGGGCGGTCACGTGTGCTAGCAAGGCAGAGGTTCGCGCCAGGTATGGGCCGAATAGGGAGGAAGTGGTACACGGTAAGCAAACAGCGTGAAGTCCTTTACACAACAAGCACAGTGTAATTAGGATAGGCGCTTGGACTGACAGGTGTTGTGCAAGTGACCAAATCCATTGCGACATATGAGGGGTGATCATCGAAGCTAAGCGCGCTATCCTAACTTAAAAAAAAAAAATGTATGTATGATGCCCAATACATAGGTCCGGCAAATGTACGATACGAACAACCACCATACATATAAATAAAAATAGAAGATGACAGATCACATTTCAACATACTGGGATCATGTCCTGATATTTCACCTTTGTAACAGTTGAATTTGACTCCACTTAGCTGTAATGCTGACAGTGACATGTTAACAAAGATTGATAACTTATAAAAATAAACTAACACATTGTAAAATTAACCAACATTGCCTATCGGAATGTAGTCCCACTCTTGCTTATATGTAGAACTGTTTCAGCTTAGTCTTTCTTTAAAGTTGACATCATGTCCTTCCAATGGGCCTTCAGCTGTCAAGTTGATTTTCCTCGAAGTACTGTGATATACACACACACACTATTATTGCACTGTTCGCAATCATCCTCTGTGTGGCAATACATTTCCCTGTGTGTGTTACATAGTGAGGTTGCCAGTCTGTTACCACTGATAGGTGGTTAGAAGGGTAAGGCAAAGGAAGAACCTTCCAAATAATGTTTGTTTCATGTTCTTTGCCGTTATAGATCATGAGAGATTAATAAGCAAAACCAGTGATATGGAGATTTTAAAGGTGGTCTTTTTAAAAAAAAAATCGCTACACATACCTCTGACAGGCAAGACAGTGTGATAAGAAGCGGAGTCCTACTCCAGAGCACTTGCAAATTGTTTGTTAAACGCATTGGGAAATGTGGGACATCATCCATGTTTTAACATGCATTAATGAGGTAATGAGGACACCATGCCATCTAGTGGTAGAGTTGCGCTATTTCAGAAAAAAAACGACAGGCATTTTAGCAAAATGGGTTTATTCAATTGATCTAATCAGACAGAAACTATTCGTCAACAAATTTGCACAAACCAAATTTGCACAAACCTTCGGGAGACTTGTTCCTCTCCATTTAGTAAAGCAAAATAACATTGACAGAAAAATTGTAGGGAAATAGTTTGAATGTACTCCCAAATCCTACATCTATAAATTGTGTCTTTCGACCAATCACATAAGATCTTTTCACAGATCCTTTTCAGAGCTGATCTGATTGGTCACAAGACCAATTAGTGAGAAGAAAGAAAATCCGAATTGGGCTGCCTGTGTAAATGCAGCCTAACTGTTGGACAGACATTTCTGACCAATCTGGAGTTTCAACAAGCATGCATGTTTAACAACTCTCAGAATGTGTTATTCATAAAAAAAATTACACATTACATGTTGAATGGGGTATGGTAGTAGGTGCCATCGCACCGGTTTGTGTCAACTGCAACGCTGCTGTGTTTTTCACAAGGACGACGACTCAATATTAGGAAAGTGTTCCTAATGTTTGGTACATTCTTTCATGTACTTTCCTCTCTGATCCTTCATTTTGAGCTTTATCCATGTCCACAATAGTCTCAAAATATTTGGACTAATCTCTGCCTCCTACAACCTCTTAAGCCACCTGAAAATACACAAAACAAGCTGCATGTTAAAATACAAAACAAAGGTTAAACGTTGCAGAGGGAATGAAAACCTCAATCTCCCAACAGAATAATGTGATTATGAAAGCAGACACTATGCAACCTGCACCAAACTTTAAATGAAATCTCATCTATATTAATAACCATACCTGTGAGTCTTAATCATAAGAGCAGAGACGTCTGGTCTGGCATTTCTCTGTTGGCTTTGCAGGGGCTTTCACAATGTCAGACATTGGTCTGGTCTGAATGGGACTATTCTGAAACAAAACATGAAGATGACAAATGAGAGAATAGCTTTGAAACTCTGAAGGAAGCAGGGGAGGAGGTAAGGAAGAATGAAAAAAAAATACAGCGAGATAGACTACATAAAGCGAAATAACGCAAAGAAATAGTAAATACAGTATATACTGTATATTCAGACCTCTTCAGATTTCTGGTGAGCATGCCGTTGACCAGTTTAATGTGCTGGTCTAATAGGTCACCCTGGACTGCAAACATAAAAACCATAAAACTAAAAGGTCAGTTGAGGTGAGAAAAGGTAAAATGACTAATGCCTGAAGTACAGTGAGTTACACACTATGTATGTGGACTCACTATGAAATGCCATTCAGGTCAATCTACCTCAATCATCGTTAAACAGGCCTTCCCCAAAGTAAGGGAGGTAGGATTGTGATTTCTAATACCAACATGTATATCGAAAACATTTATAGCCTGTTGGATTTTATTTTTTACAATATATATATTTTTCGATCCTACCTCAAACTATAACATTTAATTGAATAAAGTCCTCGATAAAGGACTACAAAATAAAATGGTTGACAGAACAGGAATTTAAATATCTTTGTCCCAAAACCTACAGTTTAAATCCTTTATGGTCTGTGTAAGGTTCACAAATCAACCACATTAAGACCTATTGTTTCAGGTATTGGCTCCCTAACAGAAAGTGTCTCGTTATGTGGACTTTCACATTTATCCATTAGTCAAACAGTTGCGATTTTATTTTTAAAAAGACACCACTGATTTTCTAATGAAACTACAAAGTACAGTGGGGAAAAAAAGTATTTAGTCAGCCACCAATTGTGCAAGTTCTCCCACTTAAAAAGATGAGAGAGGCCTGTAATTTTCATCATAGGTACACGTCAACTATGACAGACAAAATGAGATTTTTTTTTCCAGAAAATCACATTGTAGGATTTTTTATGAATTTATTTGCAAATTATGGTGGAAAATAAGTATTTGGTCAATAACAAAAGTTTCTCAATACTTTGTTATATACCCTTTGTTGGCAATGACACAGGTCAAACGTTTTCTGTAAGTCTTCACAAGGTTTTCACACACTGTTGCTGGTATTTTGGCCCATTCCTCCATGCAGATCTCCTCTAGAGCAGTGATGTTTTGGGGCTGTCGCTGGGCAACACGGACTTTCAACTCCCTCCAAAGATTTTCTATGGGGTTGAGATCTGGAGACTGGCTAGGCCACTCCAGGACCTTGAAATGCTTCTTACGAAGCCACTCCTTCGTTGCCCGGGCGGTGTGTTTGGGATCATTGTCATGCTGAAAGACCCAGCCACGTTTCATCTTCAATGCCCTTGCTGATGGAAGGAGGTTTTCACTCAAAATCTCACGATACATGGCCCCATTCATTCTTTCCTTTACACGGATCAGTCGTCCTGGTCCCTTTGCACAAAAATAGCCCCAAAGCATGATGTTTCCACCCCCATACTTCACAGTAGGTATGGTGTTCTTTGGATGCAACTCAGCATTCTTTGTCCTCCAAACACGACGAGTTGAGTTTTTACCAAAAAGTTATATTTTGGTTTCATCTGACCATATGACATTCTCCCAATCCTCTTCTGGATCATCCAAATGCACTCTAGCAAACTTCAGACAGGCCTGGACATGTACTGGCTTAAGCAGGGGGACACGTCTTGCACTGCAGGATTTGAGTCCCTGGCGGCGTAGTGTGTTACTAATTGTAGGCTTTGTTACTTTGGTCCCAGCTCTCTGCAGGTCATTCACTAGGTCCCCCCGTGTGGTTCTGGGATTTTTTCTCACCGTCCTTGTGATCATTTTGACCCCACGGGGTGAGATCTTGCGTGGAGCCCCAGATCGAGGGAGAATATCAGTGGTCTTGTATGTCTTCCATTTCCTAATAATTGCTCCCACAGTTGATTTCTTCAAACCAAGCTGCTTACCTATTGCAGATTCAGTCTTCCCAGCCTGGTGCAGGTCTACAATTTTGTTTCTGGTGTCCTTTGACAGCTCTTTGGTCTTGGCCATAGTGGAGTTTGGAGTGTGACTGTTTGAGGTTGTGGACAGGTGTCTTTTATACTGATAACAAGTTCAAACAGGTGCCATTAATACAGGTAACGAGTGGAGGACAGAGGAGCCTCTTA